GAGATTTGAACTTGCAAGAATTAAAATTTCATTTCAGCTTCAATGCATTTTGCATGAACAAGGCATAAAATATTAAAATACAGAAAAAATTTGAAAAGAGTACACGTATTTTCCAAATTAGAACTTGACGTTCTGTAACTTTTAATCCTGACTTTAATTTCCTGATTTTGAGCTTTTTTCTATCTTCAACCAATACTTTCATGCTGTCTTTGTCGATACTCTTCATGTAATTACCAACATCATCAGCCCATTGAAAAAAATTACATTATTTCTTTGGATACTTAGCACAACCCCACTAGTAATGGCCAATAGTTTTATCATTTTTGCATTGCTTCAAGGGCGTCGGGATTTTGCAGTTGCACCTTTTTTACATCTTCATCCTAGTTGCTAAAAAATGATGTGCGGAGGCTTCTTGCTTGCAAAATAAAAATAAAAATACTCATGAAGTTAGTGAAATTGAGCTATTTTTATAGTCACTGGTAAACTACGACAGCTTATAGCTATTAGAGTTTAAATTTGAATGAGTATGGTTACCCTAATTGAATACAATTATGTTTGTTCTTTTGTGGAAGGTAAGCTCACCAAAGGTTCTTGTATTCACCTATCATTCTTTTGGTAATCCTAAACTTTATTTGCTACAACTATAAATTTTAAATTCTAAAATTTATAATGCTACAGTTTGAGTTTAAACCAAATAAAATATTACACATTATAGTATTTGTTATCCTAAAATTTTGATGAAACAAATAACATTTTAGAAATCTCAACCGGCCGTGTTAAAAAACCTATGGATTTCAAATCCCATATGGAAATCCAACTCCTATAATTTTAGGATTTAAAACAAACACCCCCTAATCAACTTTCTCTTTTTTTTAGACCCAAATATTATACTTTATAGTTAAAATATATTATATTTGCACATTTAGGAGGTAAAACTCTAAAATACCCCCACATACCCTCAAAATTCTCTCTCGATTTAACATATGAAACTAAATTAAATTTTTTTTATTTTTTAGTATAGTATTATTTATTCTTATTAATTGTAAAAAATAATCATGAGGAATTATGAATGATCATGTGAAAATTTAAAAAAATGATAAATTAGTGCTATAATTGTCCTAAAAACTTATGTGAATTTATGCTATAAAGTAGAGGTTGAGGAATTGGGAGAACATATACCTTAAAATACAAAAAAGAGATAAATCCTTCTAAATTTTAGTATTTAAACCTTATAAGTTAAATTAATTGAGGAGTATTTAATGTGTTTATGAGAGTTAAAGAAGAAAAGTAAGAAACTAAAGAAGGTGATGGACAATTAAATGAGAAAAAGAGAATGATAAAGTTGATTTTTTGAAATTTTTTAGGGGGGGGGGACGAGTATGAGGTGTATTTGAGAATTAAATATTAGCCTCAACAAAATTTAAAAAAAAAACAGACCACATTTACTTTTAATTATAGAAATCAACCCACTTTGAGTTAATTGCGGTAGTAATTAGTCGGGGTTGCTAACCCCGACTAATTAGTAGCCTAATTACAAGTAGGATCAAGTAGCGGGAAAAGTTTGCGGCTGTTAATTAGGCAACTAAGTAGTCGGGGTTAGTAACCCCGACTAATTAGTACCATAATTAACTCAAAGTGTGTTGATTTCTATAATTAAAAGTGAATGATGTCGATTTATTTAAAAAAAAAAAATCGTTGAGACGATTTTGAAAATCTCTTCTATTTGAGAACTTAGGTTTAAAGATAAATACACAAAGTTAATAGGGTCTAAAGATACAGAGAAAAATAATTGGGTTTAAACATAAATCACGGTAAACCTTCGGGTACTAAAAACGAAAATCCGTTTAAATTAACCTTCTCAATTTTGTCGTGTAGCGTCGGCTTACAAGCGACAAGGGGTGCCACCTCATCCAGTTACCCAGACGCCACGCGTCACGACCTGCTTTCAGTTACCTGCGTCCTCCTTCTCCCTATCCACGAGGTCCGGATGCAGCCGTCCACGTGGTCGATCCTGCCGCCGTACGCTCCAACGTGGGCCCCCCCCTGGTGGTTGCTGCGCCCCAGCAGCATGTGCACACGGCCTCTTTTTTGAAAACGGAATGAATTGAATCATCACTTTTAAATACTCTACATTGTTGATCCTACTTTTATTACTTTTGTACCGTCACTCAGGGTTTGGAAATGAGTCGAATCGAATGCCACAGCGTCTGTAGTTGTATTCGTTTGAACTTTTTCAAATTCGAAAGTTGCTCTCTCAATTTATTCGATTTTTTAATACAAATATGTCTCAAATATTCATGGTCGTTGTCAGATATTATGGTATGTTTTTACTTGATAATCAAACTTTTTAAAAATATAGAACTATGTAACTTTAAAAAGGTACTTTTTTACTTATGGTTCATGAGTATTTAACTATGTAACTATAAGCGTACTTTTATTTAGTTAAAGCAAAAGGCTCTTAAAGTTTCTCCTAGTTACAGCAAAAGGCTCTCAAAGTTTGTCAAATTTAGTATAAAAACTTAAATTGTAAAATATAAAATTATGCATGTGATAATACAAGTCATAAGAGAGAAAACTTTAAACAAATATTTGATAATCACACGTATAGAAAAAATATCAGGTTAATTCTATTTGTTTATAAATTTAATATAACAAACTATTTATTTACATTGTTAAATAATTACTGAGTCGAATATAGTCATGTAGTTATACCAACAATTAATGAAAACTTTTTTAATTATTCGGTTCATTCCCATCCCTAGTCACTATTTTTAATAGGCATTCTTTCAAAATGCTTGCACATTGCTAGAGTTCTGAGTAAGGGTGAGCAAAAGATATTTAGTGCGGTCAATTTTTATAAATTTTAACAAAATCCGAACTAAATTAGTTTATATTTGAACCTGATCGATAAAATCAGTAGTTCAGTCAGTTCAGTTTAGTTTATTCAATTTGGACATGAAATAGTTTAATTTTTTAAAAAAGGTCCATTTTGGTTCGAAAGAAAGATGCATAAAGATCAAAGAAAGAAGATATATATTAAAAAGTTATTTATAAAAATCGCGATACAAATTAGTTGAAGTAATATATGCTTTAAGGAAAACAAAAGAAATATTGTGGGCTAATGAGATATATCATATATTTACTCCCTTATGAAAAAGAAAATATTTGAACTAGTACTCGCGCTTGCTAGCAATGAGGACGTATATATGTGTATATATATATGTTGTGTAAACTGTATAGGTCTCTAATTCACTGCTAATTAAATGTACTATTTTCATCTAATTGTTTAGAGGTTCAATTGTCTAGTAAATGGATGAGTACATATTTTCTTTGACTTCTATAGGATACGTTACCATATTTTAGATAAAAATAATCAAAAATTGCATAAGGATTAAAAAAATTCTAAAGGTCGTCCCATAAAATATTTGAGAGAATATTCCCATCTTTGCATTGCATAAAGAAAGGTATCAAAGTAATAATTTGAAAAACTACATAATATGTGAGTGTTGTCAAAAATAAGGAGCACAAATCGTACCATAGGCTTATATAACTAATGGATTTAAGACGACAATTAATAAGGTTTTTTGACACAGGACGCTATATAAAAAGCCCTAAATGACATAAATTACCACTTTTTATAATTTATAATTCAGGATATCCGCAGAGAACTAACATTTGATGAACTAACATAAAATAAGACTAATTTAAATGACTGCAACCTAACTGAGAATGATCTATTGCAAGGTTGAAAGAACAAGGAGGCAAGGACATTGAACGAGCCAGGGGTATTTTAGACATGCAAAAAAAAGCAGCACCCTTTCCCTCCTCAGCTCCTCTCTTGTTCACATCTGGCAAGAGCATTTATATAGTAGTAGCTTAATTCAATGAATTCAACAGTCTTACTTAAAAAAAGAAAACTTGTTCATTAAATAAAAAGTTAAGGGTAAACAACCAATTCATCTTATCGGTCATTTCGTATTAGTCCCTCAAATATTTAATACTTTGAGATTAGTCTCTCAAGTCACTGAAATTGTTGTTAGGTCTCTAAAGCATATAAGATGCCTTGAAATTAGTCCGTTACCAAATCCATCCATTCTGTTAATCATGATTACGCTAGTGCTTAACTATGAATAGATGATTACCAAACAAACCTCGCTAAATAATTCCCGCTAGCCAAACAACTTTCTTTCTCTCTCTAGCTCCTACTTCATCATTTGAGAAAAGGGAGGGAAAATTCCGCTATTTGTTGCCTCCAAAATTAACACCGAAATTCTTCTTTCTACTCCCTAATTAGATTTGCGTTTGTAATTAAAAATGGTAAAATGGTATCTCACTAGAAAAAGAAAAGATTGAAAGAATAAACAACTTATATAATTTGAATAGCCAATAGTAATTGGGGGTAACCCAGTAGGTCACATGACAAAGCTGTGCCCCTCCCCTGAGAGGAGCCTAGGTTCGATTCTTACGCGCCTCAAATGCGCAGCAGTTGTGGTTATTGACGTTGCTTATTTTCTTTAAAAAAAATTCAATGATTTGAATGACTAATCTTTAATAAATATGAAATATGTGAGGGATTAAGGTTGAATTTCAAGCACAACAAAGTAAAAGAAACCAAGGGGCAGTAAAGATGATAAACTGCAGTAAAACTATAGACATTACAAGACCATCCTAATCAATACTTCATCAGCAATATTTTCAACACCTACTCTCTCACGCATATTACTTTATATCCTAGCCTGTAGGCTCCACAATTCATGGGACCCCAACGTCAACCGAATAGTTTTTAGAACAAAGTGGGTGCCATTGATTTGTGTGGAAAAAGCCCTGTAGAGTTGGTATAGGATAGGACAGCTCTCTGAAAACCCCTTCAGTTCATTTGCGCTCTCTCTCTCTCTCTCTCTCTCTCTCTCTCTCTCTTCAGTGCTGCTGTTTATGATACAAACACCCTTTTGGTGGATGAGGGAGAACCTGATGCCTTTGATGGGTGAGTAAGTGGGTGGTGTTTTCTTTTCTTTTGCTCCCATCTCTTCTTACCTCTTTGAATAGAAACACTCCTTTTTCTCACTTCTTATCCCCATTTTTTTTCTCTCCCTTTCCTCTCTTCTCTATTTCGTTTCCTTCCACCTTTTGTTTTCCTTTACCTAGAATTTCTCTAGTGAAAGATCTATGAAGGGGTAATTATTGATGGGTTTCTTCTTCTTCTTCTTGATTTTTTGCGTTTGATCTTCCTTTATTTTTTAAAATTTCTTTTTGGGTATTTTTATGATCGATCTCGTGTGGTTTTATGTATATGTTTTTTTTTGGTTGTTGTTCTCATAGATTTTCCTATCAAAGTAAGATCAGAAAAAGTTGTAGCCCTTTGAGATTCCATGTCTATTTCCTCCTTTTCTTCTCTAGCTACCTCTCTCCATAGTATTTTGGATGCCTCAAGATTCAAGGGTCTTTCATTTTTTACCCCCACGAGAACATATCTTGAAGTAACTTGTGACTTTTGTCTAATTTTTTTTTTTTTTTTGCTTTAGTTCTCATCACAAAGTGATATTTCATGTGGTGGATCTCTTCTTGTTTCCCATATGGATCTATTGTTGATTTCTCACTTGACCACATAAAATGACACCTCATTTTGTATCTTTTATCGCTCACACAGTCACATGATTTAAAGGATTCAAACTATTGTTGCTAATTTTATCCATGAAATGATACTTATTTGCACCTTTTATTCAATACCCATCAAAAATTTCTTCCTTGATGTGACTCCTCTCTCTAATCTATTTATTACTTCTTTGTGATCCTTGATCTATTACTCCTATGCAGGCACTATTGATTCAGGTGAAGGGATCAAAAGGGGAGTGATTAAAGCGGGCTCTTTGTTTTTGGGCTTAGCTTGAAATCTTTGGTTATGCTGGATTTTAAACATCAAGAGATCCGTAGGCAAAGCTGCAGTGAGAGAGTGAAGGGTTCCTTCAGATGTTATCCATTGAAAACCCTTCATGTTCCTCTAAGGATTCAGATCTAGCAAGCGGCCATGGAGATCATCAGGCCCAACCTCCTAATTTCTCCATAAGGTAACTGTATATTCTTCTTTTTGCTAGTTAATTTTATTTCAAACAGGGAAAAGAAAATTTCTTATTTGCTTCGTAGATCTCCTTTAGATATCTGCTGTATTGGGCTGTATCCTTTCTTGGTCCGTGTGCTGTCTTCGATTTTATGCACTAAAAAGACTTGCAAAGTCTATTGGCCACTGTTGTACAAATAGAGATCAGTTTTTTTTTTCACATACTGTTTTCATCCAATATCTGCCTTAATTTATTTGTATTAGGCTTGGTTGTTTTTTTTAGCACCATAATTTAGTCCATGATGATACGTGTTTGTGGTGTGCAAAAACTAGTGGTTGATACTTACATGGTCTATATTTAATGGTTGTCCATTTTAGAACTTTTAACATGTGATATGATCTTTTTTATGATCTTGAATTATCAGAAGATGAGTGAGAATGAATAAGTCATATATATAATTTTTTTTTGCAGAGATTATGTTTTCAAATCTAGAAGCAAAGATATCAAAGTAAATTGGCCGTTTCGTGAACAACTACTGCAACTTTGCTTGGATAATGGCATCACTGGTCTATTACCACCTCTTCAACCTCCCAGTTTAGTAAGAGCTCATTGCTTAAGAAAACAATTGGATTCTGATTTTGCCAAAAACAAGACAATCTTTGAGAATCAAGATTCTGAGGAGAATGTTGAACTTGAGTCTCTATTGCATCTAAATTCACTTACAGAGGAAAGAAGAAAACTTAATGCCTCTTCAATGATTAGCCATGAGCACAGTGAAGGAATATCAGGTGATCAACTGAAGAAGAGGTGTAAATTGGCAATAAAATCGGACTTATTATCGAATCCAGTCTCAGTTTCTGATCCCATGGCTTCAAAGGTTTGCCCTGTTTGCAAGTCATTTACATCCAGTTCAAATACCACTTTGAATGCGCATATCGATCAATGCCTTTCTTCTGATCAGTCTGATGCAATAAAGGATGTGAGTGAGTTACAAAAATATAGAGCACAACCAAGGAAGAAAAGGTCAATGGTGGATATTTATAGAACTGCTCGTCACTGTACTCTTGAAGATCTTGATAGAAGAAATGGTACTAACTGGGCTGTTACTCTGGCTCCAATGGCACCTGCAGACGATGCTAATTTTGCTCCATCATCACCTGCAAATGATCATAATTTAGAAATGAAAAGAACAATGTCTGAACCTTCAGTTTCCGTGAAAGAGGGAAATGTTGGAGATATTTATGTCGATTCAAATGGTACGAAGCTTTTGATTTTGTCTAACTTCAATGACTCTCCTTCATCGGTTTCAAGAAAGAACTTCAAGCTCAAGAAGAAGATCTCCAAGAAGAAGATCTTGAAACAGAAGGGTTCAGAGTTTACGAATGATAATCCACAGAAAAGGAAGTTGCGGAGATTCAAAGAGTTCAACAGCGAGGTATGTCTTTTTTCTATGACATAAAACTTTTAGCATATATTGTATTGACATATTTCATGAATCAATTTGACTGACATCTAACGTAGTGAGCAGTATAAATTTTTGGCTTTAATCTTTATGCATGAAAATCCATGAGCTCGGAATATTGACTGCAGTTTTGGTCCTATACTTTTGAGTTCATGCTTTATCTTTGAATTTCCAATTTGAGTTTTCTTGGCGCCCTTGATTTGTTAACAGTTGCTGTTGGTAGAACTTCCGTCATTCTTCATGCTATAATATACATTTCTGGCGGCCATAAGTTATTCTCATGCATATTTGGCTGGTTTTAAAAAAAATTATGGTGAACTTATTTTTCTTCAGAAAATTTTCATTTGATTTTGTAATTTGAATGACCTGCAGCAATATCAGAATTACATGATTGGACTTTCTATACATGCCATAACAACTTCAACTTCAAGTTTTGTACACATATACAAGTAATAGCATAACATGATAGTATGTGATAGAGTGAGACGTTTTGTTTTGTATCAGAATGAGGCAGCAATTGAAGAAGATCTCATCACTGAAGCTTATCAGGAGAAAGAAGAATCAATATCACATCTGTTAAGTACTCATGATCAAGTCAAGCATAGTGAGCCTTCAACATTAGGACATTGGGTATGCTCAAAAAGATCAGACCTACCAAGGAAAGTCAATAACAAGGACATTAGTGAAGAATCAAAGTCAAGAAAGTTATCAATGAGTTATACTCTATCAGAATCAGCTCCTTCTATCCAAAGAAATAAGGTTTCAAACTATTCGATATCATCTGAAGCTGCGGTCTCCCCTAAGCCTAAGGACATCAATATTCTTTTCAACACTGATAAAAACATGGGTAGTGGAAAAAAGAAATCTCCTCAACCATCAAACTTGCATTCTAAATTGCTGTCGGAAAGTTGTCATCCTTCCTTGAAGGTGAGAAAAAACCCGACTTTTAAAAAGAGTGGTTTTACAAGAACATGCATCTCGCTTGAAGAAATTGAGAAGGTTGAGAAACTCATTCCCCCCAAAAAATTTAAGAAGCAAAGATCAATATTAGGGTGTAATAAACGGAGAGGAGAAAAGAACTCTATTGTCAATGGAGGAATTGATGATTCTACCGAAGATTTTGGCTTGGTTTCTTCCAGAGCTAATGAAGCAAGTGAGACCCATCAATCCAATTTCTCTGACAATCAAGAAAAAGGAAGTTCTGAAGTTACGGAGCTCATTTGCAGAGATGAAACTCTTGAAGAATTATCAGCTGAAACAACATATAGCCAAAAAGCACAATTTGGAGATGCAGTCACCAATGAGGGCATTCAAATATCAGATGATCAAGCTGAGCAAATATCGCAGCATGAAGATTTTGATGCAAATAGTTCCTTCTTTGAAGAACCTAATCCTGATGATGGAGATAAAGTTCCTGAGAATACTCAAGAGAACTCATCAACAACCTTTGTCAGAGCTGATTCTAATCCAGATCATAGTATGATTCTTGATATGGACTCGTCTGCTTCTGTGTCTCCTTCATCTCCTGTGGATGTTAACATCAAAAACTCAGAGGGTGATCAGTTGGTTAAAGATGCTTCCAATCATAATGAATTGAGCCCATTGACAATGAGAAAAGATAATAAAGCGATAACAAAGGAACCTTTATGCTCATGCAGTGAAAGCCTTTCTCGTGAATCTCAGTTCTCATATCAAACCAGAAAGAATACCATCTCCCATTTGTTCATAAAACCTCCAGCTCCTTCCCATCTCCAAGTTTGCCCTAGTTTGGAATCACATACCGAATCAGTCGTAACAACAGACTCTTCACAATCTTCTCTGAATGTCTCAACTCCATGTTCTCGAGTTAACTCTGCATCAAATCCAATTTTGAGGTTGATGGGCAAAGATCTTGTGGTGAGCAAAGAAGAGACAAATTTTCCTAGTACTTCAAGCTACAATTCACAACCAAAGTTGATCTCCTTTGGATTTCCAAGCAATGTAGGATTCATCAGTTACAAAAATAACTACCAACATCAGTTTCAAGCTATGGGTAATCACCAAATTCCTCTCCAACATCTACAGAGATCTAATATGCACATCCCTCCATCACATTACTATATGAATAGAATGGTTGCATCCGAAAATCATCAGCCAAAGCCAATTATTCACTCTAATCAAGCTCGAGAAGTGATTGTGATTGATGATGACTCTCATGGACTCAGGGCTGAGCAAAGGGCTCAAAGTTCAAATATCATGACTTCTCAAAGGATGTTTGCTTGCTGTCCTTCATATAAACCTTATGTATCGGGGGCATTCACTCTTGGCCAAAGGGAAACTTCACAAGACCCTTTTGTGTTCCCCTCACCTTCATCTCTATATATTTCTCCAAATCGGCGGTGAAGTTTTCCACACTTTTTTTTGTATGCATGCTTTAAAACTGATAGTTTATATTGTACTAGTGGCTCTTCAACTTTTTTGCAAATATGAACCTTTTCTTCCAGAAAAAGATCAAAACGGACAGTAAAAGTATCTTCAACAAATAATACCGTTGGCATTTTGTAATTTGTGTTAAAAGTGTTTTGTGAACCTTTCGGAGTATATTGTATGTGTATACCACTTGGAAAAAAAAATCCATGGCTCTTTGACATGTTCTTTTTTAAATGAAAGAAAACCTTAATATTATTGCAAAGGTCCAAATACTATGTCATCATTTAGTGTCTTTTGTGGCATTTTCATTTGTAACGCGTTCTCTTGTCTTTAAGCATAGTCAGCATGCATGAGGGCTGTAGCTTAATTATGTAGTGTACATTGATGCTAATAACATAAATTGAAGTAGTGAAAAATGTGGCTTTGGCTATGTAAATGTTCTGACTACAAATATTGAGTCCTTCAAACTTTTATTAAACCATAAAATGCTATTAGATGAGTATTAATGTACTATAAATAACCTTGCCTTTCTTTAAATCTCAATCTAATACAAATTCCCTTGTGAGAATTCTTGAATTAGTACTAATAGAACCGACTACTGCTAACTGTTGCTAGAGCCATATCTTTCCAGGGGAATGTTTTTTTTTCTTTTCTTTCCTTTTTTTTTTTGGATCATACATTGGTTCCGTATGAAGAATAATATATAACCAATGTATGCATGCATTTAGCTAGCTAAGGATGAGAAGGGTCCATGCTTCTTTATTTTATAATTATTATTGTCCAATACCAGGTCTCCATCACAAACGCCTAATGCTGTAGATGTCACTAACATGCAGGCGTGCTCCACGACGACAATTCACTTAATTTTGCTGACTTTTTCTCTCTCATGAGAGATTGAGAGGGACTTATATTTTTGTGTGTTTGTGTGATGTGTGCGCTTTGATTTGTTTTGATCCAGAGCATGGAGTTGAAAACAAAACACGATGAAGTATTCTCTGTAGAAAATCATATCAAGGGGAAGAGTATGCATGGTAGCTGTACATATTCTAGAACTGATGGTTATACTGATACAAGTAGTTAACCGCACGTATATTTTAATTGCTTACATTGAAATTTATTGATTGCATCGATATTGTATAGTTATTGCAGTAGTAGAAATGGAGCAGATAATCCATAATAGAAATGAATGGAAGACTACTATTCATGTATCCTATTCAGAAATTTTGGAGTGAAGGCTTTTATTGTTGATGTCTATGTTTAATAGCTCACAATTTAATAGATTTTAACTTTGATATACTGAAGTTTAAATGTGTCAAAAAATTAACCTAAATTTTTAAGATGCGAGAGAGTGGAAAATGACATTAATATCCATTATGTTCTCCATTTTTGGTGTGAATATTGTTGAACAGGAGTTGTTGCTCTAGTTCAAGTATCAAATTTCAATCATTTATGTTTGGGAGACTGAAGATATAGACTAATTCGTTTGACAATGACCTTTGGGATAAGAAGCTCAAGGAGGAAGAAAGTGATTCAAGAATTCTATAAAACCCCGAAAATTTTAATTTTTGCATAATAATCAGCAGATGTGTTTTAAATAAAAATTATGAAAGATGATGTAAAAAAAGGGTGTTAAGCTAAAAGTGGGTGAAACTTTAGGGCATTCTTTGAGCGAATTTAAATTTCGGAATCTTAAAGTTAAAATTTGATGAAAGTTTATTTAAGATATTAAAGAGCAATTAACTCAAAATAATATGTACAACATTAACACATATTTTGTATGATTCATGTAACCGCAAGCTGATATGCCCATTTTCCATGCAGCTAGTGAACGAAAAGAATATATTTACTAATCATACTCGCCTTGTTACATGACTTGCGACGTAAAAATTTTGAACTATTTACTCCCTTACCTATACACTTAATTTTCTTCCCCACATGAAATGAAATATTAACATATTAGTTGGGTAAATTTTTTGTTGGGTGGGAGATTTAAATGGGGTTGTTTTGGAAATTAACTGTGTATAGTTAGTCTAAAAACCTCACCATAGTTGAGGGTTTTTAGCATTAAAGCCAACAGAGAGCCTAATATTAACATATAAGTGCAATATGGGGGATTATAAAATTTGAAAGATTTGAGGGGCTAATATCAAAATAATGAGAACAATTTTTCAAAATCGACCCATTTAGTTTTTTATTTTTCAAAATCGACCGTTTTTTCTTTTATTTATCAAAACCGACCGGATTTTGTGATTAGCAGGTTAATCACTATCCTAAATAGTCGGGGTTGCCAACCCCGACTATTTAGGAGGGTGTTAAACCCTAATTAAAAGCCTTAGATAAAAATTATTTAGGATAGTGATTAACCTGCTAATCACAAAATCCGGTCGGTTTTGATAAATAATAGAAAAAACGGTCGATTTTAAAAAATAAAAATCCGAATGAGTATGTTTTGAAAAATTATTCAAATAATGATGATGTAACGGACTTAAAGATGAGAATTTCCTCCAACTAGGGGTACATGCCCGGTCTCTCTGATAGTGATAGGTTTTGTTTTACTTTTACATTTTTTTAACTTTGCCTACATTCCACACGAGCGTACAATATTGTCAACGAGATTACCATATCTTTTCCCACTCCCTCTTCAACTATTTTAATTAGCTTCCTTTTTATTGAATGTTAATTTTTCAAAACCAATCTAAACGCCTACGGGTCACTCGAGTATCACACGTCCATGTAGCCAGTGTGTCAACTTTGTCCCGAGTCTTCGATAATTTAAGTGGAGTACTACATTAATTGTAAGAAGTCGCACGTTCAAAATTGACTGCAAGCTAGAGTCCTTCGTTTTGTGTTTGCTGTGAAAATGAGCGTCACTAATCGTGGCATGGGTGTCAAAATTCAAACAAGCGCAATTACTAACGGGGAGGGGGGGGGGGGGGAAATCCCATAGAAGCAAAGTTTTGTGGCTACACTATTCAAACATGAGCAGTCTGTTCTTAGGCATTCAGGAGGAAAGTAGGACAGTTTGGAGTCTTCACTATCTGAAGTGAACTGTTTAAGAACATCATGCTCAGCATGTAAGCTATCACGGAATTTTCTGTATTGAAAAAGAGTTAATTGTAAACAGATTCTCTGTAGTATTACTCAATTGCAAACAGTGTGAAGGCCTTTTTTTTTGTGGGGTGGGGTGGGGTGAAGGTGGGGTGGGTGGGAAGGAGGGGGGGGGGTGACGCATGAGCAAATCCTATGGGCGAAATCCCAACTAAAGGCTTACAAAGTCCCCACACTTCATAGCCCATACGCTTTGCGCCCCCACACCAGCCGCCACCCCAAACGAAAAAAAGAAAAAAAAAAGAAAAAGAAAGAAAAAAAAGAACCCAAGTCTTGTAACTTGGCTATGCCACTTATAAAGAGACCTCATGTAGTTCTATTTGTTGTGAACATATTCCATGTAGTTCTATTTGTTGTGAATAGACTTACCGAGTGAACTTTTTCACTCTTAAAATCTTTAAAAATAGTTGAGGAGACGGATAGACCTAATATAGTTCTATTGGTGAGGATAAACACCTAACTTCTATGTTTTTAATTTTAAAAAAAGCTAAAAGAATTCCCTAATGGGGTGTATTCATACTTAGGCCAATACTATAGGAGGTCTATTCACAAGAAGTAGAACTATAGGGGTCTATTAGCAATAAATAGAATTATATAAGTTTATTCGTAACAAATAGAACTACATTGAGTCTCTTTGTAATCAGCTGATACCAAGAGCAATTAACTAGAAAAAAATTTAGAATATCCAAATTACTGTCAGACTATAATGTTATAAATTGTATTGGAAGACACTTCAAACGTAATGAGGGGTGATAATGATATTTTCGAAATACTCACGTCAAAATAACCTCCATCGGACATGCGCAACCCCCCCCCCCCCTCCCTCTCTGTTTGCGGGCTTGGGGAAGCACGTGGATCAGTCGTCATCTCCCGCCGTCAGCCTACAGCGGTATTGCACACCACCGGAGATGACCTGAGCTGGGTTGTGCATCTCGACCCATATGGTGGGTCCCATCTTTCCGACCAAAATTGGGCCCTCAATCTTCGGCGTTGGTTGGTGGATGCGTATCATGGTACCATGAACATGGGACACTAAATTGTGTCTTTTTTTATTCAATTTGATGTGGGCCCCAAGTGGTAGACCTCTTTTAATGGCTAGTTTGGTTGATTTCTTGGAATGAAAAAAAGAAAAAGAAAATAAAATAAGATAAGAAAGCCATTCAAAGTTAATTTTTATCTATCTTTTCAAAAAAATTATAAAATTAATTTTTTAAAAATAAATCACATTATCTAATAATACGACGATAACTCATTTTATCTCGTCTTTTTTCTTAATTTTAAGAAGTGAACCAAAAAAAAGAAAAGAACCTATTATAGAAAATATGTTTCTTATAATTGATTTTCTTATTTTTTTAGCCAACCAAATAGCCCCTGAGACCATCTAATTTTACAAGTAAAATTGGTAAATTGGGTACCATCATATTTTTCTTATTTTATGATATTTTTATCAAAAAATAAGACACCATGTATTTAAAAGCTATAGTAATTTTAAAGCAAAAATATTCTTAAATAAAAAAAATACAATTTTTATTTCGAACGCTTTTTAGACAATCTGAGTCTGGTGTTTTGGTTTTGAGTATGAGGGGGTGTTAATATAATATCTAGCATAATATAATAAATATAATTTATTATCAACATGCTTACTATTTAATATTATATAATAAATAAATAGAATAAATATATTAATAATTAAAATATATTATATAATAATAGTATAATAATATATTAAATACTAATATTCAATATATTGATAATATGTTATATAATATATTTCATAATTTGTTAATAAAATTTAATATATTAATTATACAATAATATATTATAATAAATAAATATTTATACTTATTTATAATATATTCAATGTTTTTAACAAATATTATATAATATAATTAATAAATTCTATAAAATTGTTATATAATAGAATATATTTCATAATAAATTTATATATAATAATAATATATTATATAACAATGTAATTGTTTAATTTATATTATATTGTAAAAATATATCTATTAATAATAAGAATAATATATTGATAAATAAATTTTAATGGCAATAATAATATATATTCATAATTATAATAATATTAATTTATGTCATAAGCTTTGTTATAATAAAATTTTAATTATATTAAAACTATAATACCG